AAAAAAAACAAGTGAATCCAGAAGTTATTCAAGCAATTCTAAGCTGACTTCTGACTAAGATTTTGGCTTGCCATCTTGTTTCATTGCCTGGCAAAACTGTTCATATGCAAAGAATTATTTGATTACAAAAAGAACTCTTTCTCTTTTGCCCTCTTTTATAGTCACTGACTAGAGGACAACTAAATAGAACAAAAGGAACACACGGCAGAATTACTAGAAGACTTAATTCATTTTACATTAAAAGTTAGATGGAGTGTCAACAGATTCAAAAGTCCTGAATGGTAATCCTAACTGAAACATAATAAATGGATGCAGCAAGAACTTGGAAAATGGCAAAGGGAGAGTTATGATTTTTCACTTGTCATTCAGAGGTTTGCATTCATAACAGAGGAAGCTAAATAGTTAAACAGTATTCCAACTTCTTACAAATCTATTAATATAAACAGATTTTTTGGAGAGCAGCTATTGAATATGCCAATGCTCCAAACCACTCCATATAGACTTCTATCATTTAGTGCCATGGTTTGAACTAAATTACAGTACGGCAGCCAACAGATTGATGAGGAATGTGAATTTCTGGCAAGAAATTTTTTTTTTGTTTGATGTCAGCTTTTTTGGTATTCAATTCAGAACTGAATTGCCAGATAATACACCCATTTAAAGTAAGCAAGTCAATGATTTTTAGTATATTCACAGAGTTGTGTAACCATCACCACAATCAATTTTAGAACATCTTCATCACCTCAACTTCTTTGACTTTTTAAGCTAATGCTGAAAGTACAGGCTCTGTTGTTTACAAGAAGAGTACATATATTTCAGGAAAACTTTGAGGAATCACAAAAGTATGGCTTGAGAGGCCCTATTTCCTACAAGGAGGATCTGAGATTCCATACTGAGCCCACCTAGGGAGCCCACCTCTCAAGTGGAAGAGGCCTGGATAAAAGCTACTCCTGTAATCCTGTCCCTTGGAAGCTGGTCTGGTGTGCACACACCTGAGCAGTAAATAGGGATTATTGGAAGTGGCCTATTTCCTGGCCAACTTGCAACTGCTAAGCAGATCCAGATTGCCTGTGAAAGAGGCTTCCAATCAAAGACACCACCCAAGCGAGTAGTTTCTAAATGATGCGGTGGTTGGTGAAGGAGGAAAGGATTCTGCTTCCAACTTGGCCCAATTAATCTTGTCTGTTGTGACAGAATGGGGTATTCGGAGGTGGATGGGAGGAGTGAGTGCTGGAAGTGACAAAATTGTAATGGGGAGAAAAACACACTTACATTTTGCTTTTAGAAATTCACTGCTAACCGTACCGAGCGCCAGAACTAAAGCGAGGAGACACAGCTTGCGTGCAACAGGAGGCACATCACTCACCACTCATGGCGTTCTGAACGGGCCGCCCAGGGTCTGGTGATCCATTGGAATGAACTGGTATATCTGGAATGGTCTCAAGTATAGCCTGACAAGCAAGGGAAGATGAACACAAAACATTTTACCATGAATACAGTCCACCCCACATTTCAATCTGATTTATGTTCTGCAGTATGTAAGAGTTATTTTCACAAATAGCAATTCTTGGTTTCATAAAGGGCCTGCATCTGATTTCCTTTGTTTCTGCATTCAGTTCAGATGTGTACAACTCACACAGGTTCCTCAAAAGGGAACAATGTCAAGGTTAATATAATTGTGCCTTCTTAGCTCTTAAATATTTGCTGCTTATACCTTTGCTGAGATGTAGTAATGATGATGTTTGTAGTCACATAATCTGATAATTATAATGTCATTTGCTAATTAATCTTCATGCATTTTTGTCTTAATTATACTAATTATTCTAATATAATATTAACAATTAATTCCCTCACTGCAAAATACAGAGTAATGATAACTAATAAAATATTAAGTATCTTTTCTAATTCCATTTCTCTTCTTAATTAATCTGGTACGTTTTTCATTGAGTTCCCACCAAAGCACTGAACTCCCCTGCAATATTATCAGAAGTTGAGTATCTATCTTTGTAGAGTCCTGGGCAGAGTTACTGCTCAGGTCTGGACGGGTATTAGTAAAAATTTACACACAAATTCTACCCCCAAAAATTGACATGCAAATCCCTTAAGTTTTAAGGTGGGAGTTATTATCTGTGAATATGTGTGATGGTGAAAAATCTGGTATTCCATCAAGAATCTTTTCTATGCTCATCACACATAAAATCTGTTCTTTTTTTCCCCCAGAGTCTGATATTGTTTTTTTATTCTCATATTTATTTAGCAATAACTGAACACCTGCTTCATAAAAGAATCTTTATCATGTGCTACCAATTACACAAGGCAGTCTTAAATTCTGAGCCTCGTGTTCTCTTTTCATTCCTATTTTATTGCAAAGGAGATGATACACTTCTAATTGTGTGAACAGCATGTGAATAGTTGGCCAATTATTACATAGATGCCCAATTATTATAATTGGTGGAGGAATGAAAAAACAAAAAAAAAATCTAGGGCCATGTAGCTCATTGTCAGTCAGATTTTTGGTGGCTCTAGAAACTAACACTACAGAATAAAGATTACCCCACACTAAAATTCTTAAAAAAAGACATAGACAACTTTTCAGTGGTTTCCTTAAGTTTTCCAACAAAGGAATGCTTTGTCAGACTTTGAAATAACTCATCTACGGGAGAGAAAACTGTTCAGAAAACTGATGGACCTTAGTGCTTGAAGCTGATGGTTTGGGATGTTTAAATCTACTGAATGCCATTTTCTTAATCTCAGTTGGGTTAACTAGCCTCTAGCCAGTCTATTGCACCGAATGTGTGCCTGTTCTTTGTAACGCAAATTATTGTTGGACTTTACTGGGGGAAGAAGTTTGAGTCATAATCCCTGCTCTCCAGCTATTTACAATGAGAACAGAACAACATTAACCGAGCATTATTAAAAGAAAATCAATCCACCATTAAGAACTAATTTCTATAATACAAACTATAAATGTTACTGGGGAGCTATAAAGAGGGAAGAGGTACCACCCAGAGGTTTCCACTGTCTAAACTTGAGCTGGAACTCAAGGAATGATGAAAACAATTTAGGAAGGCAGTGGAGACAGGCAGGAGCATTTAGGGCAGAAATGGAAGCAGAAATTTTGGGTATGGCAATACCTGAAGCCTTTCATCACAAGGGATCACAAAGAGACTGGGATGCCAGGAGTTGGATCATAGTATTAGAAAAATATAAAAAAATATGAGAAATAAATTAGTCAAAGAGAGTCAGCTCAAGTTAGGAGAGGTTTTGAAAGCCAGGTAGGGGAGTTGAGACTCAGAATCCCAAGGGTGGGAAACAAAACAGAGCAAAACAAAGGAACATTCTCATGTTAGAGCAGGGCAACGATGCGGTGAAAATGAAAAAGAAAGACCGGGCTGCCAATAAATGCTCCTTGAGTTCTCAGGTAGGCTGAGCACAAAGGCGAGATGCTTGACACATACAGTCTTAAGACATCCATGACCCATTAACAATCATGTTAAGACTAGCATCACTTTTTATTGGTACTAGTGATTTTAAAGTATTTCAAATACAAATAACCTTCCCTGGCTTGTTTATAACTGACCCTAACACTTCCCTAATGTGCTCAACCACAAGCCTTTGTTCCTCACCAAGGGCTTCCACTGCTAAGGAGAGGCAGTGTTTTCCCTCCCCGGAAACTTTGCTCTACTGCCCAAGTTGCACCAAGCTAGGACTGGAGAGTAGAGGATGAGGGCTTAGTATTTTAAATTCCAAATTGTAGAAGGGTGGTATTGTCAATGGAAAAGAATCCAAAC